CCTCCGTAGGTGCATGTCACCAAATGGTAAAAAGACTCAAACACCACTTTTGGAGGCTTAATGTGAAATCATCAGTACTGCTGTCTGCCTTTGACTGAACTTGGTGTGTTACTTTTTTGCTGATGGCTGCATTCTGTAATTGTCTTGGATCACTGGAAGTCATGTTTTCAGTTGTTTAATGTGCTGTACAATTTTCACTTCTTGTTTCACACTGATTGCTTTGTTCTCTCAAGGTTTGAGTTAATTAATTTCTTGAAGCCTCCTTATCATGCTGTGTTGTTTATCTGTTCCGTTACACTGCACCTCGTAGCATTCGAAAACTTATATGTTGCAAGCATGAAGAAACAAGGATCACTGGAAAAGGTTCCTTGATTCTGCTGGACATTTGCAAAGATCTGTCTTTTTATTTTTTGTTTTTTTTTACCTGTTTTTTGCTCATCAGAAAAGGCACTCTTATCACTGAACAAATGAGTAGTGCATCTGTTGTACATTACATTGTTCAGCAAAGCATAAATTCTGGCATGCAGTGGTTTCTAGGTCACGTGTATGCATATAGAAGGACTTCTGGCTGCTTTTTCTGCCTCAGTGCTAAAGAAACACTGAGCACTGCTTCTGCTAAATTTGTATTTAAGAGTGGCATACATTCTAGTATATTATGTTTTTGAAAAAATGTTTATGTGTCAAACAATCTCAAAAAATATTAAGGTATCATATCAAGACAGTAGAGTGCGAGAGATGATGTTTCATGCATTTTCTCATAAGAACAAAAGTATCTTTCACTTGCTTGGTTTTTTAGCAAATGCATATAGAATGAGGCTGGCACACACTGATGGTATCTACAGATCAGGAAGTTATACAAATGATGATGACACATCCAATTAATGAAGAAGAGTCAGTGACTGCTCTCACAATATGTATAGTGTCAATTTTTATGAAAGAGAACACGGCGATGCGTGGCCTGCGCGTTTCGGCGGCTGCTGCAGCGCGTTCAAGCGGGAGCGAGAGCAACCACAGTCTCTTTTCGCGTCATCTCACGGCAAGCAAAACAACGATTCGTTGCTGATATAGAACGGCGAAATTGCAACCCCTCCTCCTTCAAGGGAATTTCCGGCTCTCGCGTAATCGCCTTAAAGGGGGAGGGGGTCGCAATCTTGCCGCTGGCTCCTTATCAGCAACGAATTGTTTTGCTCGCCACGAGATTACGCGAAAAGAGACTGTGATTGCTCTCGTCCCCGCTTGAACGCGCTGCCAGCTGCCGCCGGAGCGCGCAGGCCACGCATCGCCATGTTCTCTTTAATAAAAATTGACACTGTACATTGAGCAAATGTAAAAGACTCACACGTGGTATTTTATTCTAAAGTTGTCCTCAAGACTTTTTCATTTAAGAAATAGTATCGATCACTATTAACCCCATTTCATTTGTTTAGGTTTTATATTTATAGCTACAGTGGCTTCTTTGCTATAAGGATGAAATGTAAAAATGCTCACATACTCATGTTTATATACGAATTTAAAAAAAAACACTAGATGGTTCTAAGTTAACCCGAATTTTCTTCCTATAGCATGACAGAATCGTAAACCGCAGTTGCCATACAAAACTCCAGAACTTGGTTATTTTTCTTATTAAAGAAAAGCAACAGAGTAATCGGCCTAAGTGGAACCTGAGGGAACCAAAAAGATATGTTCTGTTCAACAGGAGTTCAGTTAACTAAGAGACGAACAAGGGTGTGGCATTAAGGTACGAAACCAACAATACTAGACGCAGCTACATTTAAGCTGCAGTCACACTTTAAAAGCCCCTAAGCCACCTTCAATAATTTTTTAACATTTCAATTAAACCCACACATTGAGTTCAGAAGTGCCGTCATAATCAACATCACCATACATGGCTGTGTTGCTGGCCGCACGCGCCTCGCAAATTCCAAGAAGCAGTCCCTTCTTCTCTCCGTGCCTTTCGGCAATGCTCAGCCCTTCAGCATTCATTGTGAAATCAACACTGTTATCTGCCTGCATTATTCATAAAAAGTACCTTTGTCTGCATGCAAGTACATGCGCTCACTGCTCTTCCGCCTTGTACGGTGAGGAGGAGCTCTCTTTACAAAAGAAAGACGAGCCAACGAACGGAGCATAGAGAAGAAAAGAGGGAAATAAGCGAGGGGCCTCCCCTTGATCATAGAATGTGCATAACTCCACTATTATAGCACTGTTTCAAAAACTTTTACGGCAATGTGTTGGTTATTGACTCGTGTGAAACTGCAATACCAAGTAAATTTTGGGTGGGTTACAGGTCCCTTAAAAGATATTCATTTACTGGGAGTGTGCTGTGTATGAGTGCTCTGTCTTGTTCCCTTTGTGCTGCTTCAGGGTCTCTCATGGATCTATCCACTATGGATGCTAAGATGTCACATCGGGGATGCCATCGCCAGTGTAACATTTGCGACTACTGTTGAGTAATCCAACCTGACACGACATGTCAGAGTCCACTCACATGAGCGGCCATACTAGTGCCATTTGTGCCCACAGAGCTTTAAGCAGAGGTCCGTATCGATCGTACACCTGCGCACCCACGCAACCGAACGGCCGTATGAATGCCACTTGTGCTCCAAAAGGTTCTCACAGAGGTCTACTTTAAATGATTGCCAGCGCACTCACACGGACAAGTGGCCGCATCAGTGGCATTCATGCAGCCAGACGTTTAGGTTCAGCGCAAACTTTGAGAAGCATCTGCACCTGCATAAATGCTAATGACCATTTCTACGCAGTTTGTGCTGTGCAAGTCCCCCTCCAAGGCTTGATTGCGTAGTTCGAGAGCACTGCGGTAGCACAGAATGCAACGTACAATGTTAGAGCTGTACTTCTAGTAGTGATACCATGGTTTCACATTTGCGTTATTGTGCATGCAATAAATTACACTCACATTTTATTAAATTTTAGTGCTTCTCGGTCTATGCTGGTGCTACAGTAGCTGTGGTGCTCAGCTGCTGACCTGAAAGTCGCAGGTTCAGTCTTGGCCACTGTGGTCGCGTTTCAATAAAGGAAAAAATGCTGAGAGAGTGCTTCATCAGGATGTCAGTGCGTGTTAAAAAATACAAGGTCTAATGTTTCAGGACCTTCCATTATGGCACCCCTCACAATTATATTGTGGTTTTGGCGTATAAAATCCCAAGTATTATTATTGTTATTAGTGTTTCATCTTGGCGTTCTGCACAAGTCATGTATTTCCAATGTTATAGGCTGATCTCTTGTGTTCACATTAATGATGACCTAACATTTTTGTGGTGAACTCTGGTGTGATGAGGCCTTTTGCACTAGCTCTTGGCCATTCACTCGAACATGCATGAAGACATATGCATTATTATACTACCAAGGAGGTCAGAAGCTATTTAAGTATACAGTCTTTCCTAAATGAACCCACCAGTTGATAAAGCCCAAGAATGTATAAAAGACGTTAAATGTACTGTTTTTAGTGTATTGTAGGAATTGTGATATCGATGAAAAGAAAGCAAAGTAGATTAAAAGACAACTTGTTGCTGGCAGCAACCAAACCTGTAACCTTCGGATCCAAAGGTTGCATGTTCGGTGTCTGGGAGCTGGGTGGAGATGGAGAGAAAAATGCAAGCTTTACTGCATTGCCTGTCGATAGGAACTGGAGCTGTAGAGTTCTGGCAATTAGAGATAAGGTAAGCATTAGCACATCTTGCAGGGGCATCTGCACTCCCAGTAGGCATTTGGCGCTTTTCCACACCGTGGACTTGAGCACGTAGGTGTCGGAACCCCCTGTTACTACTGTTCGTGTAAGGCGTAGAAGGTTCACAGCTGCAATGTCAAACGCATTGAACCAAACAAGCCTTCTACGAGTCCGTGAAGTGGGTCTTCTGGAGCCTGCTTTATTTGCAGGCATGATGATTTTGCTTGTGATCTCCATCGTTGGTAATGTTCTGTCCCCCTCTTTCTCTCCTTAGGTGCGTCGTGAAATATCAAAGCAATCCAATGCCACTGTTGGATGAAGGACATGATAGCATGAAACTCTGCTGCCTATCATTACCTGAATCTGCCATGTAAACTTCAAGTGAATGGCTGTCTTTTGCAGTTATCTCGCTTATATGCTTCTGATGCTTTCAGGTTTCCTTAGTGCACAATATTTTATCGTTTTCTGTGGTGCTCATGCAATTGTTCTCCTAAGTTTCGGCATGTTCACTCCTCGGAGCGTCTTCAATATAATTCTGTTGTCTAGGTGCTCCAAAAAGTTAAGTTCGTTGTACTTCAATGTTTATGTATTGGAACAATATTGTAGATGCATTTACTTGAAAAAAAAAGGAAGATCAGTGCAAAGTGGTATAGTTATTTGTTGAATTCTGCTTTACATTTTACTTTTGCCTCGAATTTGTTGCACTTAAAGATACACATTTTCTTGGTGTTATAATTATAGCACTGAAGAAATAAGTGCTACTGCTGTTGCTGTTCTTTATGGTTTGCAGAGCTGAGTACGTTCTGTTTTACTATATATTTTGGGGAATGCTTGTGCATATAAACGGATGTCAAAAGATATTAAGACATTGTAGAAAGCCAGTGAGGGCAATACATTTTTTCACTGTATTCTCTTAGTACCGCTGTATTTCAATAACTTTTGCAATTGCAGATAAGTGTATCAATCAAATGCAGATGGTCAGTTACCAGTGCTGTCTGGTCTTAGGTGGCCTTAAAGCTTTTCTCAGTGTAAAATTAGTGTTATTTACAATAGTCTTATCTCATTTTCATGGTATTTCGTAGTTATGGCTGCAGTGCTTGCACTCCTCCGGGGCTAAAATGCGGAAGCAATCGTGTACTTGGATACTTGTAAGTGTAAAATAACTGTAGGTAGTTTCCGAGTTGAACCAGCGTTCCTGATAATATCATGATTCATAATCAAAGAGCACTGTTGCCTCGTAACATCCTAGAATTTCAGCTGATATTGTTTGAGTGAAAAACACCGAGTGGGCTGTCTTGTTTCCTTTGTGCAGCTTCGGCGTCTCTCATCCTTCAGGGAACCCTGATCTCTGAGAGCACCTATCAGGGAGACCAACACCAGTGTACCTTTTGCGACTATAAGACTGATCGGTCATTTCTCCTGGAACGGCACATCAGGATTCACACGGGCGAGCAGCCGTATCATTGCCACTTGTGCCCCCAAAAATTCTCAGTGAAGTCCACGTTGACTTATCACCTGCGCTCCCACGCGGGTCAACAGCCGTACGAATGCCACTTGTGCCCTCAGAGGTTCTCACAGAGGTCCACATTGATTGACCACCTGCGTGCCCACACAGGCGAGTGGCGATATTGATGTCCATCGCGCCCCGAAACATTTAAGCATGACACAGTGCTAAGAAGACAGCTGCATCAGTATGAACGGTAGTGACCCTGTCGGTGAAAGGTCTAGCTAAATAAAACTTCCCGCTGGTCGAGCTGGCGCATACCTCCAAGGAAAGCTTGTTACATGCAAGCTAGGCAACAATAATGCTTCACATGTTGACTTTTTTTTTTACGGTACGTGAATGACTATCAGTGTCTTTTGTGTTTTGGTTAGTTTTCATGCAATAATTTTTTCCCGAAAGTACACCTGCACGTGCTGGATTGTTATGAAATGTACCAAGTGTTCCCTCAACCATCTCGAATTTCGCTGAAGGCATTGTTATTTACCATTAGATAGTTCAAGGAATTTTGTCCCCCCCCCCCCCCCTCCTAAATTTCTTATATTTTAAGTGTGTTTGACTGTGCAAATAGATGTGACATTATTGTGTACAGTGTAACTGACAAGATACAATTACTGTGATTTATTGCTGTAAAATGTTTTGTTGTTGTTTTTATCGGTAGCCATAAAATTGCGATCAGTTGTGATTGTAAGTTTATTACTTGTTTCAATGTACATTACATGGTGTTTAGCTGCTTGAAAACATGTCCAATTGTTTCATTATGAGTGTTCTCTAGAAACACAAACTTTCTTGAGTGGTTGTGTATCATATTTGCTTTGAACAAATTTTTATACTACATAATGAAGATTACCTACAGAGAAATAGAGGTTGAATGCTGTATCAAAATGGCAGAAAAGTTTTGAAATAGGCATTACTCATGTGGCAGCAGTCTATATTCTGTCACCAAATTGTTTAGAAAATTTGGAAAGAGCACACCTTGTTTCAGGCAACAACAATTTTAACTTAGTATTTGAAAGGCTACTCAGGGGTTGATATTCAATTCTGGCCAGTTCACATGTTCACTTTTCGTTATGTAAAAATCAAGTAAGAGAGAAAAGCTCTTTCAAGAGCCTATGTTCTTATGTCATTTGTGTACTCTAGATAGTTTACATCAAGCTCGTATGTAGAAGACAGCCCCATGAAGTATAATTTTCGGGGCCTGTTACGCGTGACTTGAACAGCCGGCTAATTTTTATCTAGTGCAATAAATTATCATATGATAATTGGGATTTAACTGATACTCCAAACTTAGATATTTTAGAGTTGGTACATTCAAACAGTGTGTACAGCTCATTCAAAACCTTTGAACTTAAAAAAATGCGTTTTCAAGGCCCTTGAAAGTACTGAAATTTTTTCTCTTCCTTGAAAATACTTGAATTGCCTGAGCACTGCACTCGTATACCGATAAGGCAAACTCCTTGATGTGGTAGATCGTGACGTAAACCTGATAGGCTTGCCCATTTTACAGGCGATAATGCGGCGTGAGCGCACATGGCTCCGTTTTTCATAAGTGCACCTGAAAAAATTAGTTTTGCGGTGAGGGTGAATCAATGAATGCGATAGCAAGACATCGCTGCAGCACCCTGCTCAAATACTAAGGAAGACATTTGGAAAAGGGCTATACATACTCCAAGGAAGCCCCCGTGCTTTAGCTGCAGCATGGATGAGGCGAAGAAAAAATTGTTTCGCACTACTAAACGATCTTGCACTGACTTGGAAATTATAGCTTATTATGTACAGCAGTAATGATAATGTTAGAAACCACACAAAAACATAGATTTGCATTTAAAATGGTGTGCGCACAGTGGCGACATCGAAATATCTTTTCCGTTGCGCAGAACGCCAGTGCAGCGTCTACACAACGTTAACAGCTCAAACGCTCAGTTAGGCAGCGTGTGCACGTTACGAAAAAAAAAAATCGAGTGAAGAGCGCCGTTAACTGAGCCGACCAATTTTGTCACTTGACATAAGTCAAGATTTCTCCTTACAATGCTGCCACTACCGGGTATGGCACGGCCAGACTGACCTGCAGAGAACATGAAACCTGTGCTTGCATAGCTTTCCAGTCTCTTTAGCATAGTGCTTTGTACTCTCTTGACGACTTCCAAACTACATTTAGAAAGTGCGCAAGCGCGGGCTGCGAGTCTTTTGCGAATGCTCGTACCTGAAAAATGGTGACCGCGCTGCAACGCTCCTCGCAGGTAACGTCAAGTGCATACCTCTTAGACATTTACTTATCTCTGTATAAGTCAAATAATGTTGCGCTGAATGTTTTTAATGTTTGGTGAACTTCACCAAGCTCACACTGGAAAAATCTCAACTGTTGTAAGAGTTCAATGTGTGTTGTGACCATTTTTTTTTCTTTCCACTGTTAAGACTTTCAAGGTGATCCAGGGTAGTCATTATTAAAAACATTGCAATATACATCTATTTATCTTTATATAAATGAAATAACACTACACTGGACGTTCCAAATATATTTGGTGAATTTGGTGAACTTGAAGCATATAACTGGAGAAATATAAACCACTATTGAAAGCATTCATTATCCGTTGCGATCATGAGAAGTCATCGAGACTAAATGTTTTCATCATAATTATGATATTCATTTAATTATTGTGTTATAAAATTAGTCCATTTTTTGAAAATTTTAGAGTAAGGAAATTCCACCTTTGCATACGGTGGGAAGTCCTTGAATATCCTTAAATGCTTGAGGCAAATAGAAAACTCCAGTCAAAACTGTATTCAGAAACTCCACGTTTCGAAGCCAGACCAGCTTCTTCCTCAGGGGCTTTCTCTCCTGAGGAAGAAGCCGGGCTGGCTTCGAAACGTCGAGTTTCTGAGTACAATTTTTGGTTGGAGTTTTCTATTTGCATCATTCCTCCCCCAACCAAGCAGACTTCTGCCAAATGTTCACCTTTAATACTTAAATTTTTTTGCTTTGGAAACCTCTATGAACCCTCGTTCAAACGCTTATGTGAACCACCTCGAAATTAAGTGTAATAGATATGCTTTCCTGTTATGAGCACCTATTTCCCATGATGTACTGTGAAATAAACTCGCAAGAAATGTTGAATACTGTTTCTGTACATATTGAGCTATAAAGTAACGTACGTTCACGCTTTCTTTTATTCACTGCTACTGTCTGAGAACTGATGCTCGGCAAATTTGTTTGCTGCTGTACAAATTATACGATAGATGTGTACTTGCGTACATGTGCTCAATGTGGGACCCTTAAACTGCAAGTAAAAAACGTGGACTAAAATAAAAAAGTTCAGTACATGGCCGCCAGATATGTACACTTGGATGCATTATTGTTGGACGTGCAGTTTAGTGCAACCAGATCTAGGGTGATCTTAGGATGGTAATCCGCGGTAGACCAAAGTGTGTCGTGTAGTCGTCGTTTACTCATGTTGCCTGTATCGTGTATTTACCAAACTTGCCACATGTGTCCTCGCAGAGACCATGAAAACAAGATACAAGAGCGCGAATGCAGTATTTCAGTATTTAGCACCTCTTATTTTTCGAAGACCCATCCGATAGTGGGACTGCTTTCCGTCCTTGCGTGTAGGAATTTCAGTAACAATGTTTAAACTGCATTCAAAGTGTTGTGTTTTAATCAGTAAAATTCCACATGCTTCACCGTGGAATATGGAAGAGCACCATATGTTCTATAGAAAATGCTAATTAGGCATTGCACGCTCTCTTTGTGTGTGCATTGCCTTTGTTGTAGTCTGCCTTTTCATTATAAATTCTTGTTATTACCATGGCTTTTGGAATATCACTGTGTGCTTCTCGCCTGTTTTACCCCTTAAGTGCCGACTTAAGTACGAAAAAATTGTTAGAAAATTGCAGTTATTTTTTTTACGACATCTAATGCTTCAGTAACATGTTAAAAACTGAGAAGTACTTGCAAAAACTTTTCTCGATAGGTAATGATGCTGCATTCGTAATTTTTTACCTAGGGGTACTTGATTGAAGTGTTTTCTGAAATAAATTTGGAACATCATTTGAATAATTAAAGACAGTACCAACATCCTCAGCACTTGCGCTTTCGTCATCTTAAGGACAAAGATTTCCTGCACGAGAAAGATGCATGGTTGTAACCATATTCATTCATTGAACGTGGCAAATAAGCTGAGAGTTTCGTTGTTTACTGTGCGAACTCTCCCATTCAATGAAAGCTTCAATTACAGCACCCATGCTGCCATCTATGCTTTAAACATAAAAATACCTTTTGGGCTCGTCGAAAGCCTCTCAACACATTGCTGCAGTGCAATGGTGGGCTCGGGTCCTCATAAGTGCTTGAGGGGTTTATGTAGGTCACCCAGTTTTCTTTCGCCTAAATTAATGTAACCTGTGGTTTTTGCTTTTCTGATCTCGCCACGTGCTATGATGCATAATTAGGCACTGCTGCTACTAAATAAGTAATAATTGCAATATTCAGTTCTGCTGAAAGCTCACATCAACTTCTGTGGCACTTTTGGATTCCGGTATTTCCATCTATTCTAACATGTCCAGTGTTACAATAATGTACATTATTACAAGCCTGCAAGAATTTCGGTATATGCTTCACTACTGATGGCTGATGCTGGAGATGTGACATCCTCTTAACCTTCACAATACTGAGGAATGTGGTATTAAAAGGGCAATGATGCCACCAACAACTTTTCTTGAATTGTCAATGTGATAAACAAATACATTACAAATGACCTCTTGATATAGAAGTAATTGGTTGTTTTTGATCTGTAAAACTTGCCTTGCAAATTTAATAAGGATAAGGCTGCCCTGCAGCAGATAAAAGAAAAGTACGGTAAGTAAAAAATAGAAAGGGTCAACTAATGTTACTGCTGAACCATGGTGTAATTTCAAAAAGGCATGAATAGGAAAATGCACGCAGGGCACTGCATTGGGTGCTGTATGGCATATCTGTTCATTCCTTATAGCATTTTACTGTGCGAATTTCTGTTTTGTTGCAATGTTGTGTTGTTATTCGAATCAATTTTCGCAATCACAAATGAAGTGCTAGTATCTCCTTCATGATGCAAACTTTCAGTCTACTGTCTTGTCGCTGACTTCCTTGACGGCATAT